CGCCGACCGATCGTACAAAAATAACTCGCCGACGGACGACGGCCGGACGACACGTGCGCGTCCGGCGCGAGATACGCCGCGCGACACGTCGGCGTCCCGGGAACACGTACAGAGATTTATCATTTATATTTATAGTATTACCGTACTCTAACGACTACATAAAGCATTACGTTTGTGCTTCGGTGCGAGCAGCGCGCGGCGCGCGGCCGACGTTCGGGCGACTACGACTAAAATAAAGTTACACTTTGGTTTGATGCGACGGTTGCTCCTACACAAATAATAATACTTACAAAAGAATACTGCTCGCGAGCCGCGAGTCGGCCTCGGCCGCGACCCCGCACTTTCGGTGCCCGACCGCGTTCGGGGCACGCGGAGAGCGACCGACAGAACCGTTAGAACAACGTAAATTCGTAAAACACAACGTAACAAACCGCGCGTGCGAAAACAAAACGTACGAAGGGACCGCGCGTGAGTATTGGCGAACATTACGCACTAAATAAAACGTTACACAACGAAGGACTAGAAGATCGGGGCCGCTCCTCCTTGGAGCGGCGGCGAGCGGCGGCGGGCGGCGGCGGGCGGCGGCCGGGCTCAGGGCAGCGGCGCGGGGCAGGGCTCGAAGTCGCCGTTCACGAACGAGAAGCCGCGGAACTCCTCCTGGTTGATGGCGCGCACCACGTCGGGCGGCACGGGCGTCAGCACGGGCTCCTCCTTGGTGAACTCGGCGTCGAAGTTGGCGGCCTCGCGGCGCGACTTCTGCAAGGCGCGGGCGTCAGGCGGGCGGGCGGGGAGGGCGGGGCGGGGATGACCGGCGCACTCACCACTTTGGGCCGGAAGGGCGGGCGCAGGCGGCGCTGCGCCAGCGCGTCCCAGTCCACGTCCTTGAAGAAGGCGTGCGCGCGGATGCCGGCGGCGCCGCCCGCCACGCCCAGGCGCCGCGCGGGGTTCTTGGTCATGAAGCCCTTGAGGATGGACACGGCGTCCTTGGACAGCCACACGGGGTACAGCACGTCGTCGTGCAGGATGGACTCGAACAGGTCGTCCTCGTTGTCGGCCTCGAAGGGCGGCTGCCCCGCCAGCATCTCGTACAGCAGCACGCCCAGCGCCCACCAGTCCACGGACGGGCCGTACTCCAGCTCCTGCAAGATCTGCGGGCCGTCGGTTAGCGGGGCGGGCGAGCCTCGGCCGCGGCGCGCGCTCGGCGACCGTTACCTCGGGCGCGATGTAGTCCGGCGTCCCGCAGAACGTGGTGGTCGTAGCGCCATCTGCAAAGTGGCCCCGGATCAGTCTTTTCTCGTTACCGCGCGCGTCGTCTACGCTACTTTCAAGCAAAGTGAAACACGTCACGGTGCCGGCTATTTTCGTAGACGAACAATGGCGAAATAATTGTTGAAAGAGTTCGCTGACGCCTTCAAATATCGTAATGACGAATTTGAATAAAATCATTTCATTAGGTTTCCCAAATTGTACTACAGGCCTGTCCAAATCTAGCAATAAAATCGTATTTAAATGAAATCTGCAACTATCGGTTTCTTAATTTCTTAACGTAAAGCGACATCTGACCGCCAAAAGATTTTCTATACCTGTATAGGTTCGTCCATATTATTAGTTAACGTAATATCAAATGCAGTACTGATTCGACCGGCTTGCAATAAGAGTAACCTTTGATTATTTAATACAAAGATCGAACACTCAGAAAAAATTCCTTCGATCCGGCCGGATTCGAACCGACGTCTTCTAGCTTATTTCATAGATTTAGACTAAAAAGTCAATTGGTACTAAAGTACCGTATAGAGATACACTAGTTCTGATAGTAGCCAAGTGATTTTGGCTCATCTTCCGATGAAACTGAATAAAAATTTAAACTCTGAAGTCTGTTATCCTTCAGAATTTTGCTATTTAACTACAGGTTGTCCTTGTGAACTTTGTTAATATAATAACATCACAACAACAACTGCAGGTTGTCGTTGTAATTATTTAAAATACTTACTTATTATTTATATTAAACACTATATTGCTTAAATAAATGTTACTAACTGACAGATATTCTAAACGGACACAGACTCTATATATAAGACTTCAAAACGATTTCGCGTAAGAATTGATTAATATGGTTAGTGACATGTTTAGTTACATCCCTATTTACTGACGACAAGTGATAACAAGTGCCAAAAGGTGAAAAAAAAAATGGCGGTTTTCTTCGTGCGAGTAACTGGGGTTAATGAGGATCCCGAAACTAAATGAACACCTGGCTCAAAGGACTTGTGTCCGAGCCAAAAATCCTAATAATAAAAGTGTTAAACCGTGGTTTTTATTTTGTGACGACTAATAGGGCATGGTATGTATGTATTAACCATAGGTCGGAAAAAGAAGCCATGCTCACAAAATAAGAGTCTTCGAAACTCACTTCTTTACCATACCTTATAAAAATGTTTTTAACTTTCATTAAACCAACAGAAACCCACGGCACCAGTCGGCTTCTATTAATTCTGGATAAGGTTTCTGTACTTTACTTTGACATAATAATATACCGAATATATTTTATTCAATTACGTAAAACTTCAAAGTGGAATATCTTCAATTCCAGACTTCTCAGAATAGTAAACGCAAAATCAAATTTGTTCAGGAATTGAAACACTATCATCATCATCATATCAGCCGGACGACGCCCACTATGGAACGAAAGTTTGTATGGGTTCGCCAATTTTCTTTTAAATGGGCATGTCGTTGTTGTCGACAGTTTTATCGATGGGTTGTGCTGCATTACAAAATGATGGACAATTGCATTATTGCCTTTCAGCTCATATTGACACTTGGCGCACAGGCATCGAAATCAATTCGGGGCGTACAGCTTTTAATACACTCTCATTGGTTTTATAAATCTTCATTTACAATCATGAAACGAAACAAACGCTCAAGCGTAAGCGAGATTCAATTCATAGGAACATATTTATCGTTTTACTCGGTGTGGGGAAAACATTGAGGAACATAATCGGGACGGCCGATTGTGGTATTTCGGCCTGCGTAAAGCGAAGCGCGCACTAACCGAGAATGCCCTCCTTGCACATGCCGAAGTCCGCGAGCTTGCAGTGCCCCTCGCAGTCGAGCAGGATGTTGTCCAGCTTGAGGTCGCGGTAGATGACGCCGTGCGAGTGCAGGAACTGCAGCGCCAGGGTCACCTCGGCCGCGTAGAACCTGCGCGAGAAGCAGGTCAGAGGCGGTGAGGGGGGTGCGAGGGGTGGAGGGGGTCGGAGGGCGCCGGCGGCGACCCACCTGGCGCGCGGCTCGTCGAACTTGCGCGCGCGCTGGATCTGGAACATGAGGTCGCCGCCGTCCACGTACTCCATGACGAAGAACAGGCGGTCGCGCGTCTGGAAGGCCGAGTGCAGCGCCGTGAGGAAGGGGTGGCGGGCGGCCAGCGCCAGCACGCGCCGCTCCGTCAGCGTGCACTCCACGTCGTCGTCCTGGATGATGGCGTCCTTCTTCAGCACCTTCACGGCGTACACCTCGTCCGTGCCCTTCTTCTCGGCCAGCATCACCTTCCCGAAGGAGCCCTTGCCCAGCACCTTGATGAAGTGGAAGTCGTCCAGCGACATCTTGCCCGGTGCGCCGCCGCAGCCCGCGCCGCCGCCGTCTCCGCCTGCAACGCCGACTCGGTGTTCGTCTCGCCCTCGGCTCGTGTCGCCGAACAGTGCGCGGCGTCTCGTCTCCGCCGCAGACGACGGACCGAGAAGCGCCAAACTGCGACTGACCGGTCGCGGTGGAACGAAACGCTTCGCACTGTTCACACGCCCGACGGTGAGATTCGAAAGCGACCCGCCACCTAAATGAGAAAAGAGTTGCCACCTTCGTAGTGCGCGAAAACGTCCTGCAGGTCGTTCCAGTGGTCGCCCCAGCCGGTGTCCGCCACGGCCACGCTCTCGCGCCGCGACTCTAAGCCTACGCCGCAGGGGACAAACAGAACGGTTACATAAAACGAAGTGCCACACGAAGCGACAAAGCGAGCCCCCACCTGAAGCGTGTATTGTGTGAAATAGGAACCTTGGCAGAATATCAACATCTCCTGCAGGTCGGTCCACTGGGAGCCCCACTGCCGGTCCGGCGCACCTATGGCGGAAACACGCACAGTGCTAATCTTAGTGAAGCGTGACACGGGGACGTAGCGCATTCCGCACGCATCGAGAAGTGGCGACGCCCTGTGATCTCTAAGTTTCCATGTAGCGGCTAGTGCGAGGTCATTACAAAACAAAACAGTAATAAATAATTGTAAGGTCATTTTCGGTATGCTGTCTTTATTAGACGATTGGTGGCGAGAACGTCGGTCCTCGCGGGAAGCGGAAACAACGAATCGAACGGTTAAACAGTAAACAAAAGCCATGCATTTTTTGAAGGGACAAAGACGAGCCTTTTTCTAAATGAGTATGAACAACAATATCGTGCAAAAAAGTAGGCTAACCCTTGTCGTCGCGCTTTTCGGGGTCCTTGTCGTCACCGGACGCCTCCGCCGTCTCCACCACGGGGTTGTACTGCTGCACACGACAACCACACGTCACTCTATAATTCTAGATTGTCGCCCCTCGACACAGTAATGTTGTAAGCGGATCGGTTCACAAGTAAAGAGAATACGCAACGACCTGGTCGTGGAAATTTTGAAACTTGATCGACCACTCGCAAAGAGTTCGACATTAGAACGTCTTTGCACTTTTACCACGTCTACTGTGTGATCTCTACCAAAGTTAAAAGTGTTCGAAATGCAATTGAGCAAAATGGCCGAATTCTATATTTCAAACCTATAAATCGTGTAAACCGTTAGGAATAGAGAGGGTTTTTATGAAAATGGTACCCGAAAAAAAAACTTGTTCCGATCCGACTGGAAACTGATATGCATTTTTCTGTAATGTGGCCGTTTCTCCTTTCGTCTCTCGGAAGTAAATCGCTGAACTTAAGTCGACTAGCGGCGAGGGCGCAGGTCAAGATCGTCACACGCCACACGTTCCAGGTCGAACGCTGATACGGGCAAATCGTACTGAACTGATTATACCTTTCCAGTGCTTTCTTTGTAATTGATGCTGATGATGAACACCCTCTTTATCGGTGGTAGCATTCATCGGCACTCATTCAATGTTGGTCCATCGAGCTGGACACCGATCAGAAAACATTTCGAGATTTATAGAACTTTTCAGAAAGGACTACGTGTAGAGTGGCGAGAGAGGTTACCCTCGGGGTCTTCTGGCGGCCGGGCGTCTTGTCGGGCGAGATACCCATTTCGCTGAGGATGTCGCCCATTATCTTGGTGTTGATGCCGCAGTTGTTCGCCACGTTCTTCTGGCACCGCTTGTGGACGTTTATGGAGCACGCTGACAAACACAAAAACGTTATTTCCTACTTGCTCGTCTGCACGTAACATATTTACCTCCAGTCGTTTGGATGTCGACAAATATTTCGATCGCCGGCTTACGACCGCGCCGAGCGCACGCCGGTTTGAGAATGGGCACTGGCAATGGGTACCTCCGCACTGCAGGCCCTGCTTGATGAGGCCGTACAGCAACGAGCCGCAGTGGTCGCAGAAGGTGAACCGCTTGTAGGAGTGCACCACGAACCGGTGCGGCACGTTCACGTTGAAGCGCTGGCCGCCGCTCACGCCCACGCCGCCCTGTTGCTGCAACGCACAGCGGCCCGTCAGTCGGCGGTTCGAAGGCCTTCGCCCGCCGCCCGCCGCCCGCCGCGCTGCCTGCTTACCTCCTCCTTCATGCCGGGGCACTTGGTCACGACGGACGAGTGGCAGCGCTTGTGGACGACGCACGTGCACACTGCGGACAAATGCAGCATTGCACTCTCGTTACGATCACGCACGCAATGGACACCGCAAGCACCGTGAACGCGATTGTACGATCGAAACCATGCCAAGTAAACACCGACGCGTGCGATGCGTGCGTAGTATGTTACAATAAATTCATTGAACGGAACATTGAAACAGTTAAAAAATATTTACCTTGACATTGGTAACCTTGTTTTCCTAGACCCCTGGAAACAGGAAACGTAAATTTAGTGGAACTGATTAACAATGATGAAATAAGTACATAGAAAAGTAGCGACAATTGCAACGCAATCCAACTAACATACATAAATAGTCAAAGTGTCAACGTGTATATCAATGGTTGATTCCAAATCACAAAATTTGCATTATGGCATGCTGATGAAAAATTTTGGTAAGTATTTATCAAATACCTTGCATACATACGTTTAAATTATTATTATTATAAATGTATACAGGGCGCAAAAAGACCCTTAACAAAAACGAGAACTACATATTGTACATGGATCTAACCAAGGCATTTGATTATGTAAATCATAACGCGCTTTTGCACAAATTGTGGGTATATGGTGTATGAGGCAATGCCCAGGAACTAATAAAATCCTACCTTAAAAATAGACTTCAGTCAACACCCATTAATAAAGTATGTCCCGTATCGAAAATTGAGAAGTTTTATGCATCATCACAGAAAATAGTAAGTCAAGGAGTACCTCAAGGTAGCGTATTGGGACCATTGCTATTCTTAATATACATAAATTACATTTCTAAATCAATTAACGACCCTATGATATTATTTGCGGATGATTTTACGTAATTTATGACAATGAAACAAATATAAATACAAGTTTGAACTCTATTATTGAATGGCTGAAATATAATGATCTAGTTATAAATCTTGACAAAACTAAAGTTATGAACTTTAATCAAAGATACAATAAACCTATGCAAACTAAGAGTTGTCTATGAAAGCAAGGAGGTCGGTGAAACAATAATAGTAAAGTTCTTAGGTTTATATTTATATAATAATCTAAAATGGCAAACACACCTAGAATATGTATGTGGTAAGATAATAAACTTCTCTTCGTTCTTATCATCGAGTATTTAACTAGAAATAAAGACGAAATGTCATTTAATTTGTTTGAAAACTATTCTGCCATATCATTACTGTGACAATTGCGCTTCGATTGACCAGCCCGAGTTGGAAACAATTGACGGGTGTCGTCAATGGGTGTCATCAACTGTTTCACTTCGACCAGTTAACTTGAGCTTTGCTATAATGGACGGAAATTGCAAAATTACATATTTAATTACCGATGAAATGTGATTCCGTGTGTTTTGTAATTAGATGTTTTACTGTTTTTTCCTCACCACCGATTAGAACAGCACGGCATTGTTAGAGATATTATCTTTATTACAATAAATACAGAATATTTTTTGGAATATACGGAGACATACACACAGGTCAGTATTTGGCCTGTCTATATTTCAGTGCAAATGAGAGTTGATATTTATAAGAGCTGAATTGCTAATGTGTTACCAGGAATATATGGCCCTTATTTTGTCTCTATTTCTGGTCATATACTCGATGTTTAGGCTATCGAAAATAGTAAATTTAAACGCTTTAGTGACCACACACCATGGTTATGTAGCAACCAACCTTAGGTATGGAATCATTTTTTGGGGAAATGCACCGCACATTGAACACATATTCAAAGCCCAAAAGAGATGTATTCGGGCTATATGCGGCTTGAAAAAAACAGATAGCTGTCAACCACATTTTAAAAATTTGACAGTACTGACACTACCATGCTTATATATATTTGAAATTTCACTTTTCGTAAAGCGTCATCTAAAATTAATTGAATTCGTCTCACGAGCCTACCATTCTCATCAACTGAAAAGTAGATCATGTAAAACTGCTTTACTTTAAAAGAGTGTAATAGTAATGGCTACGAAGGTTTACAACAAACTTCCACTTGAAATTAGGAATTGTAATGATTGTGCAGAATTTAAGAAATTAATATTTAATTACCTAAATAATATGACATTCTATAATATAGAAGATTTCTTATAAAATTTACATTTCATATTATTTATGATACACATTAAGGATAAAAAATAAATTCTTTCTCATTGTGTTTACAAAATCTGTTTTCTTCCAAACAAACATTATCATTTTTCTTAAATTTACAAGTAAACTAGGAGTTAGAAAGTACAAAACCGCAATGAATATCGAACGCACACATGATGTGACCGCGGCGGTCGCAATGCAATTTACGCACACAAACGAATGTATGTCAGCTGTACCACAGAGGGACGGACGAGATCAGATGCGAAAACAGTAATTTGTGGCACCGGTCAAGCGATGTATTAATTTAAAACTAAAAAATTAAGTGCTGATTATTTTGTTTTGTCTTAATACAATTGTAATTCAGAAAATTAGACATCAAAACCAAATGCGACGGCTACCAAAACAAGGTGCGATAAAGGGATTTGTAAAATGCTCCGAAGTCAGCAGAGATATTCAAAGCTCGCCTGGCATTTCTTTAGTTCGGTTTGTTGTATCAATGAATGCGCATTGTGTTGTCGACGTAACGTAACGTCACGTAAACCTATGTTTCGCGTTATGTCGTATTTGTGTTTTGTGTGAGTGTTGAGTGAAAAGAACTGGAGATGCCTTGGCATTCACTTAGTGCTCGAGGCTGTGACAATTTATTTTTATTTTTCAGGAAAATGCCTACTATCTGAGGCCTTGCGACTTTATGGGATTGAATATACGAGTATAGTTCAGTTCTATTCTCTATGTAGTGTAAGAAAACCCACATTTGGAAGTACAAATAGCAGCCAAAATTCTATATGACCAAATGGTATCTCGCTTAGTAAGTACATACTATGATCAATCAGAACGCGGATTGAAGACACTCACCACTCATGCACACCATTGTACGCGTTACATTGCGCGTCCTAAAACCAACCGTTTTTTAATACCTAAAAATAATTTATTTTTGCTTAATGTGCCTCAGTTTATTGTATATTTCGATTTCTTTAAAAGGGTCTTTTTACACCCGTATATATTGGTGTGGCAATGACTATTACGCACCAGATGAACTCGCGGCAGTGAGAGCAGAAAGTGGGCTGCCTCAGGAAGGTGGCCATGAACTTGTGTCCGTTGACCTGGTGCACTCGCCGGCGCATGGCCCCGCGGCGCCTGGCGAAACCCGCGCCCTCCTTGAACTCGCGGCCGCGGCTCGCGCCTGCGCCCGCGCGCACCGCCTCCGCGCCCGCTGCGAACACGCAGGCGTTAGCGCCGCCGTTGGCCAGCCACTCCCGGGCACTCATTCACAGCACTCACCTTGAGGGTTCCACTTTAGATCAACTTTCAGGTGCAGTTTGCCCTGAGGTTCCAGATCCACCTGTAGACCGAGATAACACTGTCACATGGCTGCCATACACAGTCACTTCCCGTAAACACATAGCAAACACCTGCAGTGAAGTGAACCTTACTTTATAAAAACAAAAAGTATAACCTTCTCAATAAAAAAAAAAGTCACTATTGAGTCACTTCTTTGTTTCTGTGATGCAAATAGGATGTTGTCAGGTGGCGACTGAGTAATGTCACCTTATGGGTATTAAGTCTGCTCCAGTTTCCTTGTGACCAAAGATGTAATCTTGGGAATAATCATTTCAAACTGCACAATTACAATGACGTCATAACTATAAGCTTTTAATTAATTATTGATAATGAATTAAGGTTGTTTAACAGAATCCTGATCATCAATCTATTTATACGAAGTTTGCAATTAAATCAAACCAACCCTCAATACACCCAAGGTGACGTGTGGTTACAAGAAATGTTACCTCATCATCATCCACAAGCTGCTCATATTTGGGTGTGCTGCTAGAACGTCTCTCCCACATGGTTCTGACATCAATCCTACACTACATTTGGAGATATGGCTTATCAAATATAAACACACAATTCTTCAATCTTGATACAGTATCTCAAAAATAAACAAAAATTTGTGTATCTTATCATGAGCTTAGGCTGGGTTATGATATTTGTGATTTAATTGGCAGTCTGACTTACTACTACTTACTATTTTGAGCATAGTGTGTCATGTGTGTGGAACTCACCCAAAAATCAGAGGCGTCCTTGTCACGATGCATCAGGTCATCAAAAGGAATCGTGCAATTTGCCACAAAATCGTCAGGAGGTATGGCTGCATCGTGAAACACGGTGATACCCAGACTGCAAGTTTTTTTTAACCTATTAGAACTTACTACTTCTAATGGGAATATGTAACCATACATTACTTTAGATACTTGATCACTATTAAATTCCTTGAACAGCAATACTCCATGAATAAATAAAGATATAATTATACTTTTACACAAATACATAAATTTTAAAATGATAATTATTTTCATGCACCATGTGGTGATGATGAAAACCTTAAGTTACCTGGTAACATTGTGGACTTCGTGGATGAAGGTCTCATTCCAGATGGGGTCGAAGGTCTTGGGCTTGGTGCTGGAGCGGTCCAGTTGATGCTCGTCAGCGTCGATCGACACGTACGGGTCGATAGGCTGGTCGTCTGAACACACACACGTAAACACATATAACACCAACACCCATTTTCGTAAACATGCTACGCCTATTTCTCACATAGAGTACACTCAAAACCACCACTGGTGACGCGTCATTCTGCATGAAATAGGCACGGAGAAGCCTCGCCCGCGTATTTATGTGCGAAGGAGGGCCTCACCTGGCTTCCCGAAGGTCATGTTGTGCCGTTTCTGGAAGTCGGTCGGCCGGAGTCCCGTGGCCTCGCAGACCTTCACGATCACCGTGCCGCTGAACATGGTGAACTATTGCGAGCCCGTGCCGCCTCACGATCACTTCCACACTATAGACTCACTCAAAATCATTGACGGTGCTTCATTTTAGAAAAATTAAATAAAAGACATGACAGCGACGAGTTCGGCCATGGATGGATATTTTTGCTCTATGGTCAATAATGGATTCCCCATTTCGATTGCTGAAAAAAATAAAAAGCTCGATTGGATTGTTTTTGGTACGATAGATACGTCACAGGAACGTTCATTCATGTTACAAAATCACAGCATCAGAAATCAATGTGCACGGGTCCGCTCCACCGAAACAATACATTTATGTATGATTAGTTCCCCTTGTTCTAAGGCTCTAAAGTTCACCCAGTTAGCGAAACTTATTGAAGACTTCAAAAATATGTGTTGTAGTTCATTTAGTTGTTACTAAATTCTAAACGTTTGTTATTTTGAACATAGGGGACAATGATCTTACAAAAGGGACAATAAACATATTAAATGGTTAAAATATGGGACATCTTGTACAGATAGTAGGCAATTTTCTGAAAAATTAAATTAAATTCGAAGGCTCATTTAATGTTCTACATTGAAATATTATTATGTTTAAAGTTCTATTTACAAAATTTACAATGAAAATTGATTGCTAAAAGTAAATTGGAATAAACCGAAACTCAAAATTAGTACTTAAAAGCGAAAAAATAGAAACAAAAGCGAAACGAATTCGATTGTTGCTGGAGAATTAAATAAGTCATTTTTATAAATAAATTATTTTAAAATAAATTCTGTAGACACAGTAATCACGATAAATAGCAGCTTCTGAACTGTTGTCACTTCTTTTTTTAATAAAGTTCGTAAAACTACGGTGAAAGAACCTACAACACTGTTGACAGTTTTGATGATTTTCGTACAAACGTACTGACACTGACGATAGTCGCTGTAATTTTTATATTTTTTATTCTTATAAAATGCCCTTAAAGGAAATAATAATAAACGATTAAGGGTTTGCGCTAAAGAAACGTTTGAAGACGACTTGGAACATTTTATACAGCGAAACTGAAAGAGTCGAAGTCCCAGTACAGGAGACGGGGACGCGACCGGAACGGGTAAAACATTGTCGACGATGATATTTTACACGTCCCGTCCCATTCCCGTCGCGTAGGTATAGGTAGTACTAGTAGGTACTTGAATACTATGTTTTATATTATAAGTAACGATATTAACAATAAATCCCTAGACGGGACGCGAAAAATCACGTTGCATATGCTGCGACCTTTAAACCTCGCAATTAAGTGTCCAATTAAGAATTGATGATAAAATTGTGAAAATAGGCTCTGAAGATGTTAAAATATTTGTAATTTTTTTATTAGGTGCATACCGTCCAATTTTATATAATTTATAGCCGAGACAGCCTAATGGTTCGGACCTACCTCCTGTCAAGCAGAGGGTCATTGATTCGAATCCAATCTTACTCCTCTGAATTTTTCGTGATTTTTATGCGAAATTTAATTTGAAATTTACAATGAGCTTTTCGGTAAAGGAAAACACCACGAGGAAACGTGGCACACACAGCACACATCTCTAAAACTTATTTAATGATGTGTATGAGAAAAGTATATTATAATGACGCCCTCTTAAGATATAGCTGCGCGTTCGACTTCTTCAGTATTACACTGACTAACTAACACTTCTATACGGATGTGAGACATGGACAATGAAAAACATAACAGGAAAAATAGAGGTATTCGAAATGTGGGCCTATAAAAGAATGGTGTACCTATACTTCATAAACTCAGAAAGTCACCAATGATTGAGTTCTACGATTAGTTGGACGGAAACTAAAGTTTTTGCAAACCATTAAATGGCGCAAAGTTGCGTAACTGGACCATGTTCTGACGATGATGGGAAAAGTAAAACGTATTTGAATGTATGTATAAAGAAGATCAGTGTCAACGGTACGAGTTCATCAGTGTCTGAAATTAGCATAAGCGTTACTCAAAGCTCTCTCTCACATTCTAGGACCATTTTTACTTTTAGTTTAAATTAATTCCTTACTTGCCGTAAGGAAAATATAGAACAAGAGATTGTATTGTTTGCCGATGATACTTTCTTATTATTTAAAGTTAAACCGCACCGTGTCGCTATGACAATATGAATAATATTATATTACATTATAATCCATGGTAGTGGCCCTTGCTTGCTCTTTCAGGACGTTGCTGTGGTTGCTACCTATGATATTTGAAATTAATATTGTGTATGAAAAATTTCTATTTACGAAGAGCAACCACAAGAGTTTCTTACTTATTCTTCTCAATGGAATCTGCTTACCGAACGAATAATGGTGTTTAGTCAACGTGACGATTTCTAGTGTAATATGTTTACCACTGAAATATAGATTGTTTCTTTTTGAAGTATAATTACTAGTGATTGTGCTAAATGATCTTTCATAAGCTGCTGAAATAATAGGGTCATTAAGAATTTCTCCAACAACTGAACTTTATTTTGCTTATCCACCCATCAAGAAAGTGGGCTCCTATTATTTACGGCACAAAACTTTTACTCCAAAATTCTTACTTAAATTTATAAGTTTTTAATTAATAATTTAATAATTAGTCACTAAACATTGGTTGATGTAATTTTCTAAATGTATTTAGCTTATTTTCACTAAGTTGCATAATAGAGTATAGTATCTTCAACTTTCGTCTGGTATCGAATGTGGAAAAATATAGGAAAAACATCGGAAAAATATCTGAAAAATATCTGAAAAATTAAATTAAAATGGAAATTTCTCAATGGACCAGCACAAAGTTTCCACTCAGAAGAATGACTTAGGCTTTATTCATTGAAGTCTTGCATTTGCTTCCAGCGGAAGTGATCTGAATTCGCTAGTTATTCTTTAATTAACATTCTTAAATTAACATTTACATTTAGGGATTTTATTTTTCTTCTTGACTTATTAGCACTACACATAGAGCATATGCTCTAAGGTGCTTGTGCATCGGGAATGAAAATGTTTCTCATTAATTGGTAAGAAATATTATACCTATTATATATATTATATAATATTATCCCTTCCTCTCCTTTCCATCAGCGGACCACCCGTGCCGGACTGCGTTGCCACAGTTGGACGGTCAGTTCAATACCGTCCCGCACTAAAAAGTTTGGCAATTCGTTTTTATGCCGAACCATCAAATTGTGGAACCAACTCCCGGCGCATGTATTCCCTGCCCTCTATAACATCGGGTCCTTCAAACGTAGTGTGAAGAAGCATCTAACTGCCTCCGTGGCCGAACGGTTACCATGCCGGACTGCCACGCAGAGGTCCCAGGTTCGATTCCCGGGCCGAGAGAAATAGTTGTATGGCCTACAATTATATCTCTCGTGAGTTTGGATGTAATTTGTAGTTGTCTATGTGTGTGTCCATGGCACCCGCGACACAGGGTTTCCCTAGTGCGGGGCTATGTTGAGTGTGTGCGTTATTTATTTGGCCAGACCGGCAAAATGATAGTGACGGAGTGAAGATATTTGTGTTTTCCATCCGTTACTCTCATCTCTGGACTGTATTCGCACTATCCATCAGGCGCGGTGCAGTCATTTTGCCGAATCACAATAAAAAAAAACCTAAATTACAAGTCACGGTTTTTATGTTTTAACTAATAGAAAAATATTTCTTACATTGTTTTATTAAAAAAAGAAACCCTTTAATATCATAAAATTGATTTTCTAGACACTACCTCTTTAGCTGTAAATGGTGATGACTTTGATTTTTATATTCGAATATTCGTTTTATTCGGGCATCCGTTAAATTTGGTATTCGGACTTTGCAGTCGTCTCGTCTCTGCTTTCCTTACGGTGTTTAAAGATATTAGTGGCAATACATATATAATTTTGTGTTCAAATACATTATTATATCCTTTAAAAACACTTAGAACAACTTTGTACTATATTACAGATAGAATAAGCGTTAGCTTGCTTTGAACATCCAGTGGTGCAGCGGGTATCGAGCGAGCTGTCGTCCAACAAATTTTAGTTTATCATGCGTGTGAGCCCTTATGAGACGCATCAAAAGGAAAAATACACAGAACAATAAATTTTTCTTCTGTGGAAAAATACCACGTATGTACGTGACACATGTAATACACAGCCGAATATTTCTTAAATTAAGAAGTTAAATATATCCGCCTGTAACCGTGGCGAAGAAGTCAAGGGTATTAAATGAAAAGGATCGTTTTTCGAAATGTATAAATTGAAAGTAATTACTTTGCTACTCCACGAAACAAATTGCAGGTTTTTATTTTTGCGAGTAGGAAGGTTTTGATAATATTGATCAATACGAACCTCCGCAAAATAGGACCTTCATATTATTATGATCTAGTACCTATTATTACTTATTATTTGAAATTATATATTTATATTCATTGCTTTGTTATCGTAACTAAATAATAAGTTTCTAAACACTGAACATTCGAATCCATTCGTGCTTTACAACAGTACATAATAAATATTTTCAATAAATAGTTATTGTGGTAGTGAATTTAGTAATATGAACAAATTCGTAAAATTTTTTTATTTATATTCATCATTACTGTATTCTATCTATCATGATCTAAATTTGCTTCTCAGTTACTTACCGTAATGATTACCCTAATATAAAAAGACTTTGAATTCGTTTACAATACGATTAATATTTTCTAAAAATAACTGCCAATTGGTATTTCTTATTATTGTACGGACAACGGCACATCAGACTACACATTTTTGTTCGAAAATCGCCTCCATTGCAACGGAACAAGATACGTCAATGTGTAGCTTGATGTGCTGGCGACAATATCAACCAAATATTTTAGTTCTGTAATCACAAGAAGACTTTTAAGGTTTGGCAATTTTTTATATAGGATAGAAGACTTTATATTATTCGAATTATCCTAATACCAAAATGGACGAATATTGCAAGCCCTACTCGCGGGGTAGAAAGGGATACCATTCGGCATGGAAGGCTGTACCGGGTTATTAGTACTTTAATAAACAACTAATTTTGTTCCATGACTTTTGTAATTCATCAGATTTTACTTCGCAAACAAAAATAAAAATATTGAAATTGATGGCTCTGAACGGTGATAACTTCGTGCGGTAGCAAAAGAAATTAAGTGGGAGGCGTTGCTAAACAACTTACTACCAAAAACAGATCTAAAAGTTAGAAAGTGCAGCAAAAACTTAAAGGTTTACTTTTACGTAAATTTAATATGTTTTGTAAAAAGTCATGGAACATAAGTTGTTGTCTATGATGTTGAAGGTAATATTGTCCTGCAAGATTACCTATTTGTATTTTACAAATTTTAATAACCCTGTATAATTTTATATATTATATTTATATACAAATGCAATCAAACTATAAAATTTTATAGTCATTAGGTAGTACGTGTAACTAGGTGGAATGTCGTTTCCCTACCAAATTGCAGCAGTACTTCTTTTGTTCTTGTTTCATAACAAAATTTAATCATTGTTTTTTTTTCCATAAACCCAACAATTAATTTTTCACACAAAATAAACCATTGACCTCAACTGTCTCAAGTCACAGATCGAAATATAGGATCTGTGCTTCGACATAACCAGTAGCATTATAATTTTGTCACTTATTTCCAAACATGCAAATTGCATACAATACCGGTAGACGAACGGCCAATTAAGTAATACGTTCAGAGATGTGCAGTTTGAATGGATGTCAGGAAAGCTTCGGTCAATAAAATATTGCCTCTATGATTTTTTTAAACTTGCTAGCTTTTAAAAGTAGTGAAAAAAATGTCCTATTTTTTATGATGCTGATCGAAAGGGTCAGTTATAAGTGACAAAGGTAGTATCTTAATTTAAAGGAACACACTAAATTGAAATTTTGCAAACGAATTAAAAGGCTTTTTACTTTCGGCATTCGTACTTTCAAAAATGTCTGCATTATAATTTTATGGGAATTACTTTCTTGCACAGTTTATTTTTGGTGCAAGATAAAAATGATAATAATCTAGTATTTGAATGTATATATTTCTTTGGGTAAGACCTATAACACAATTAGATTCCTTTCTTTATTGAATTTTATTACACAAGAATCCTTTTGACAATGTGCACGAGTTGAAAATGCAATTGAGGCATGTTATTTCGAATATCGATAACAAGATACAAAATTCTATAGACAGCGAACCGACGAAACAAATTTTTTTTTGTTTTACACCCTTTCAATGGTGAAAAAAAAAACTTTAAAATACCGGACTTTTTTGTTCATGTGGTCGGCTCGATACTCAGACGAAAAAAGCAATTTTTTAAGTCTTTAAATGCAGTATCATTTACCTACTTTCAAAATAAAGTAATTTCTCCATGAAGCAAAATTTCTTATCTATAATATTTAAATTACTTTACCTCCTTATCCCAAAGTCGTAGGACACCCTGTATACTCATATTATACAACTTACCACCACTACTGGAGTGAAATTAAATGCAACATAGCGCTAGACGATCTAAGTCACAAGTAATAAGATTTTTCTCAGATAATTTTAAAATTGAAAGTCTCTTGTTTCAATCTGCTTTTGTTATTCAACAATAATACAAAACAGAAGGTTTCAAAGTATCGAGAGCAAATTGTATGCTCAGGGGGTCACACTGCACGATTACGATAAGAATGGACCAGGCGCCGGCGAAAACCGAAAGCTCCTTTAAAAATAAAATTATTTATTCGTAATTACAAATTCAATTACAAATTTCCATCAGGTGAGATGGAGGTCAAACGCGCACTTACATTTTTATAAAAAGAATTTAATGAAAATATCGATATCGTTCTACACCACTTTGAGCATCGACTTCAGGTGCTCCTATGGCGCGTCACACTTATGTAGCCGCTCCCCACTACTATATCTTACTACTTCTAGTAAGATCATGAAGAATAACAGGTCTAGCCTGAGGAAGTTATTTTTCAGATAGCCAGGCGTCATTTGACTAACTTAATGAGAACTGTCGGTAAACAGTTTTTTTTAAGCCAAGTGACGGAACGAATAAGTCATGTATTTAGTGCTTAGAGGATATAAAAGAAAAAATAGCCTTAGGGTCATATTCCAGAACTCTACTCAATGCTCAAGTCAGGACTTGAGTATGATTTCTAGTGCTTTAAATCATAGATAGAATCAATAGAGTTCTGGAATACGACTTAAGGTGTGGTGGTAAGCGACACGCCTGTCCAAAAAAGTTGCAGGAACATAAAAAACGTAAGACGACTTCTCCAAGGAGAAAGAATTATTATAAAAAATAATAATAATAATATTACTTTATAAAGTCACAGTTGGACTTTTTGGAAGATTTCTAGACTGAGATTCAAGCTTGTGAATAATTGTCAGTGTCGATTCTGTCGATATTCTTTTTGTTGGTCGTTTGACAAGTCTTGAAAAATTGTGGCTCTATTTTTTGCTTTTTTATGTTATTGTATTTTTTCGATCATATTGTAATAAACTAAATTGATGGATACGTCATATATTTACTGCGTAAAGTCTGTTATGTGAAGGCCATACATTCATAACTAATAGTTTTTATAGTTTAATCTACATAGTATATAATTGTGAGACTTTCCAAGATAATAAACAAAATTGTGACTGTAATGACTAGTGTAGGATCATGGAAAAATTTCCATTTTGAAAAATTAATACTTTTTAGAAAAATATTTTTCTGAATATTCTTCCACATTTGACAGTTGACAACTGTCAAAAAGTTATAGATACTGAGCAAAAACGACGGAGCCATTATGAAGACTTTATTGACCTATGATTTTTTTTGCTGTTGTACCTTCTCTATTTTAAATCTCGTTTTACTCTAACTTGCTTTTTGCTATACAATTTTATTTTCTAATTCACGATAAATAAAACTTTAAAAGATATAATCTAAACGTAGAACATAATATTTGCCTTCGAATTATAAATTTCTCAGATTTGTTTCAAACATTAACTTGATGAAAGTTTTCGAAAAATTACTCAACAGCAGTAATGACTGATTTAGTTGCTGAAATTCTTAATCGAGGCGTAAATAATATATATATAATATTTTTTTTACATGTTTAGATTGTTGACATCATAAATAAAGATATTATGATATCTACGTATTAGCTACTTTTCTCCAGACAGCTCTAGTTAACCCCACCCATTGCGCTAAACCGCTTTTCACACTCAGTTTTGGAGATACATGACTTTAAGGAGTGAAGTCTCGGAAATAATTATTGCTTGTTTAGAGCGTGAATAATGGAGCTCATTTTTTCACTTCTATTATGTTGTATAAGTGAACAAATACGAATAAAGCTTTGTTAGTTCAGTAGGTTTATTTCCATCAGAGTATGGAAAAGATTTTCATCCACTTCTATTGCCAAATTGCTATCTATAGTAGTATTCAGCTGATATTGGCCTTGTAGCCAAAGCTCAATAAAAAAAAATGTAAATGAGATATTTTGTTTGGCCTGTGAAGCAAAAATTGTATCTTTATAATTTGTGTTGTACACTTTGTTTAAAACAAATCCAATAGGATGGGTTTCTTAACAATATTAAAAAAATTGCGTCAAAAGGAGAAGGAAATGCGAATTCTTATGCTGTATCCTTTTATACATAACCCATAAAAGTTATTTGTTATGTTCGACTTATTTCCTTAGCATTTACATTCAGCGGTTTAGACAATGCTGGGAAAACGACAATCCTGAAGCGTTTCAACGGGGAGCCGATTGATACCATTTCGCCCACACTGGGCTTCAACATCAAGACGCTGGAGCACAGAGGATTCAAACTTAACATTTGGGATGTTGGTGGACAGAAATCTTTGAGGTATTTAACATGGTTAGAACGTTCATAGAATTGAGTAAAGTACAAGTGTTGATGAATCTAATACGAACGATTCTTGAAAATAGATATATTAGCTTCAAATAACATATGATTACTTGCTTTCTGTTTGCACAGATCATACTGGAAGAACTACTTCGAGAGCACAGATGGTGTGGCGTGGGTGGTGGACAGCGCGGATGCACGGCGGCTGGCTGACTGCGCCCGCGAGCTGCGCGCGCTGCTGCGCGAAGAGCGCCTAGCCGGAGCCACGCTACTTGTGCTTGCCAACAAAGCTGACCTGCCGGGTGCATTATCACTGCAGGAAATTAGAGAAGTAAAAATATATAATAGTACACAGTATGGTACTTAAGTACCACGTACATGTATGTACCATATATCGAACATAGAGATGTCATGAAAGTGATTACTGAATATTCGCCGCAGCGCCGAATGTTCGGCGTAAGATCTGTCCACATCATGCGCGACCTGTTTCATTGAACTGCATGCAGAACTCGGTGGAACTTTTTTGTTGAAAAATGATATAATCAATACATGAGTTTATGGGCCTGTTTTGATGAAGTCGCTACAGATAATATGCAAAATGATGAGGATGTGGAGAAAAGTTCTATTGCACAAGAGATAGATTTTTATTTGATAACTGTTTGCTTATATTGGATGGCATCTTTGCGAGTGGTGGTCAGCAAATGCAAAGCATTATCCAGGCCTGTCAAAATTTGCTAAGATTTATCCATCATCTCTAGGCAGTAGTGTTTAATACTATTTATAGTGAGAGGCTATTTTCAGAACCAGGAATTGTTTATGAGGAAAAGTGCAATCGTTTGTTACCAACCAATTTAAAAAAAATTTTTTTCGTTGATCACAACCTGCCACAGATTGATTTTTAGTATTAAAGGAATAATTCTTGATTAAAATACATGATACATTTTGAATAATATACGTTTCTACATTATTTGGTATTCGGTATTCTGCCAAATAGTCGTAGTATTGGGCCAAATACCAAATCTTAAAAAGTGTCAGAATGCCGAATTAGTCATGGTAGAAATCTAGTACAAAGTATCGTATTATATTTTATTCTTGTTTTAAGTGTAGCACCAACATTTTGTATTTTTTCTGTTTGGCCCAATGGTTGACTGGTAGAGAAATCCTTATGGCATTAAGTCCGCCATTTGTACATTATTGAATTGTGCTAAAAAGATTAAAAAAAAATATCAATGAGGAATGATTAACTTATGAATCATTATTATTCATTCATTATATAATTTCACTGTTCAGGCTCTAGAACTAGACAGCATAAAGACACACCATTGGCGCATTGTGCGGTGCTCTGCCGTCACAGGAGAGAATCTGCTTGAGGGCATGGACTGGATGCTTGATGACATTGCATCACGAATATTCACCCTTGACTGATCATCACTGATACTACATACCACAAATGGAATCGTAACCCAGTACTCGCAGCTTGTGTGAGAAGGTGAAGTCGTGAACTGCTGACAGTGAAATTTATTAATTCTTTAATTTGTTTCTTCCTTTCAATTGCTTATATTATTATTTTGTACTCATTTTGATGAGTCATAAGAGTATTTAAAGTTTTTAACTTGGGTACCTTATTGCAATGCAATCTATAGAATTCTTTTGTAAGACAAATGAAACTGTGATGTATATTCAAGATAAATTATTAATTAAACTATACACTAATTTTGGAATATTTATGTTTTATTATTTCATTCACCACTCGTCAAACCTTGATGTGGAAATCACACAATATTGTACAATGAAAAGACTACACTTAGAAATACACTGTGTAACTATTTAGGCTGTTTTAGGAATGTTGAGGGACTACTGCCTCTTCACTGTCGGGTTCCTTTACATGGTTAGTGTCTGCATCCACTGATATCTCCTGAGCTGTATTTCTCTTGTGATCTGCTTCTTCTGTTTCCATGCTTGTATTTTGTTCAACACTTGAGTCCATTTTGCTTTCATCAGAATCTGTAAAATTAAATGCATGCTTTCATTACATAAGAAACAATACTTATTTCACTATTTTATAATTCACAACCTTGCTTGTACATTGTTTGTTATTTGTTTAGCATGTAACTGTTTGTTAACCGACTTCAAAAAAGGAGGAGGTTCTCAATTCGACTATGTTCTTTTTTTTGTATGTATGTTACGCGATAACTCCGGTATTTGTGAACCGATTTTCATGATTATTTTTTGTTGGAAAGGGGGTACTTCCATAGTGGTCCCATTTCATTTTGAAGAAAATCATCCACCTCGAAGGGTGGCTGTTCACGCATGAAGATTAATTTTTATAAATAGCGCCTAACTTTAATTTAGGAGCAATTACTTTAATGGTTGATTTTGCTATTTCTCCAATTCAAGGCGTTTTTCTCTCAATATACTTTGAGTAGTGTCGTAGTGAGGACCTATTTTTATTATCTCCAGTGTCAAGTCCTGTATAGTGGCGAACTAGGGGATTTTTCAATAAAACTTAGCAAATAGACGTAATTCCACGTACTTTTGAGGTCGGTTTTTTTAGTACTCTGTACTGAGATTATTTATTTGATAAATAAATAAAATAAACCAATATGGAAGCTAGCAACAGTCACCACATTCAACAGCAGTTAAAACATTACCTTTTTCATGTATCATTGCAACATCTTCTCTTTTTGGATCACCATTCCTGTCCTCTCCGTCACTGTCTTCCCTCTCCTTCTCATCCACATCCATGGCAAACTTATTTCTTTTTCTGCCCTTCTCATCTTTTACCTCATGCTCTGCAACCTCAGACTCCTTAACTTTCTGTTGTTCTTTGTCTTCCTGGCTAGCATCTGGCTCATTCTCTTTGGCACCTCGAACTCTCAGACACCGCTGCTCTATCCGCTGCAGCTCCTCTTGAAGCTCTTGACGTTTCTTTGCCATACATTCTGCAAAAACAATTGTAATTTATCAATCTACAAATGATAAGACCAATAAATCACAGTAAACCATACATAAGTAATTTTAAATAGAAAACCACTGTGAGATTCGGACATATTAACTAAGAAGTAACGGGTGACTCACATATTTAAGTCGAATTTTTGCTCGACATGTTTCGAACCAATTCGTGGTCCTTGATCATGAGATTCCGCGGCGGTGACTCGACGGAAACTGCGCGTACCAACTGTCTAAGGGTGGTATTCTAGAACTCTTCAATGCTCAAGTCAGGATTGCACTGGCAACACAAGCACTGGAAATACGACCCTTATGGCAGGGACTTGAGTATGATTTCAAGTGCTTTAAACCATACTCAAATCCTAACTTGAGCACTGAGTAGAGTTCTAGAATGCGACTCTCAGGGTCGTATTCTAGAACTCTACTCGATGCTCAAGTTAGGATTTGAGTATGGTTTAAAGCACTTGAAATCATACTCAAGGCCGATATACTTACCTTACATTAAGGGAGTAACGGATAAAATCGGACACTTGTTACGCCGACGATATAGTATGAAGACGATTTTCCGCCCTCACATGCAACTTAGACAGTTGGTGCGTTCACTGAAGAATAAGTAGCCATTGAATGTTCTCGGTGTATATAAGATTCCCTGCGCCTGTGGCAAGAGTTACATAGGAGAGACCGGCCGTAACATATCCACACGACTAACGGAACACATACGTAGTATTATGAACCGGGACAATCGGGGCTCTGCAGCCATTGGATTCGGATTCGACGCACTATATTCGTTTTGATAAAGTGTCCGTACTGGTGAGAGAAAAGCATTTCATTCCGCAGAAAGTACGTGAAGCTATCGAGATTGGTCGACTTTCAAATTTCAATCGTGATAGTGGGACCCCCTGACTGGAAAACAGTGTTAGGTACTACGTCAGTGGTTAGTGTAGGCGAGACTTTAGAAAGTGACGTTGTTAGTGTAGTGTGCAATCCTGCATATAACTAATAAAAATTAAGCAAACGTCGGCCAGAATCTACCCTAGATTCTGGCCAACGCCGCCTGCGCCCGCTGCCGTACTGAGTAATCGGCCTACCAGGGCATTGACAGTTTCCGTCGAGTCACCGCCGCGGAATCTCATGATCAAGGACCATGAATTGGTTCGAAACATGTCGAGCAAAAATTCGACTTAAATACGTGAGTCATCTGTTATTGTTTAGTTAATATACATAAGTAACATATTGAGCCCAGTATTGATAAAACCTGTTTATAGCATTTCATTTGCATTAGAAGAGCCGGTGATAAATATAAAATTTACTCACTGCGATATAAAGGACCATATTTAGCTGTAAATTACACAACACTAACCATCAATACATCCTGTATAAAAACAGTAATATTTAAAGCAATAAAAAATTCAAGTTGCATAACATACTTTCATGGAACTTTCTACTGGAATTTAGTTTTTCTGAAGCTTTGTCCGTCATCTTCTTGGGCAGCCAGTAGATGTGTGGCTTGGACTTAGTAAGAATAAAATTTCCAAGGCTCTTTTGTGAAGCCTCCCACTTTTCAAACTCCTGCACTCGTGCCATTTTCGCCTCCAGAGCCTTAATGGTAGCTTTCTTCACCTCCCTTTCCACAAACAGAGTCTTTCTTTCTCGTTGCTCCCTTTCTTTCTCCTGCCGGGCTTGCTCCTCTATCTTACGTTCCACTTGAGCTTTCTTTTCTTCCTAAAAATAAGATATTAAAGAAGTTGAGACACATATTCGTATACTCATTGACAATGTACACATAGTGATGGAGGGTTACCTTAGTCTGTAGCCCAATTTCTTCCTGTTTGAACTTTTGCAGAGTACCGAGCAGTGAGCCAAAAATGCGTCTGTTACGAGTCCGTGCCTGCTCATCGTCGCCCTGCGCACGTAACACGGCGGCGCGCGTCGGCAGCTCGCGGCACACGGCCGACGGCATGCGCGCACGCTTATTGCCAGGGCCCTCGTCTTCGCCATCACTGTCGTTGGTGCGCGCCGACAACCTATCCATGATAAAAGTCAATTCAATTGCCGTCGTCAAATTAAAAACGCCGTTGACGTTACAAGAAAGCAATCACAAACATTATGCAATGTTAATAGCGATTAGTTCCAAATAATTATTTGCCTACCTGCTGAAAACTGTTTTGGTTTCATGTTTCCTCTTGCCGAATGAGTCCTCACTTTTGCCGGAGTCGGGATATATATTCCGCCCCCCTAACCGCGCTCCGCCTCTTGAATAATCACCTGACGAGTTGAACCTGCAAACGATACGTCTACTAAATAAAAACGTAATCAATAAATGCAATAAAATCACAAGACGAGCCAATCATTAACCTATCATTGGGAAATCTTCCCGAGGTTTGCACTATCTTTTTGATGTTTTCGTCAATTTTAAATAGGCTGCTCTTTTCATTCTCAAGTTGTGTACGCAATGCACTAAAAGATATAGCCACTTCTGTCCCCATAATAAAATTTATGAAAATAAAACAATTTTTATTAGCACTCTGTCAATCAGTCACTCGGTTGGTTGGTTCAATCATTGATTGACTTTTTATTTTTTATTTGAAGTCAACCATACTACACAACGAAACGCGTCAGTCACAATTTTGATGTCTTCGTTAGCAGAAACAAAACGTGTGTTGCTGCTTATACTACCCAACGATAGATAGCGCTGCTAACGCAAGTCATCATTTAATTCGTAGAAGTAGTACTACTCTACTTGACAACAGATGACAGTGTTCTTAAGATTTTGAGTAACACATTTTCATTCACTGGTGTTATAGATAATATTCCTTTCACTTTGCCACTGAATCTCTACATTAAGAACGTAGACATTGAAACTAAGTAAAAGCAACTGTACAAACACAAACACCTATTTCAAAATATTTTGTTTTTGTTTTCTTTAAATTCAACAGCTTTGATGAATGAACAAAACCCAAGAAGTAAAAAACTAGCGGAAGCATCAAACGTAAGAAAACACTTTGTAAAACATTATGTCGTCTCTTGAATTCAATCAAGCATACATCCTTCAGTGCGGTGGTATGCGCGCGCGCCGCTGCTTATGAAAAAAGCAATTAGCTGAAATGCGACAGCTTCCCAGCGTGTCGTCGTCGTGTCGTTGTCGTGCCGCAGCTAAATCCGTTCGGCTCCGGCCGAGCGTTCAGGCGTGCTATGAAAAATTGAGGTATGGATGTAGACACACCGCTCTCACAAATATCTTAACAAACCGTTTACTTCACTTGTCACAAACATGAAACTTATTTTGTGTCCGGACTAAAATAAACTCAAAACCTTTCTTTTGTTACTTCGCACGTAGGATACTTTTTAGTAACTATAGTAGCATAGACATCTACAATTACTAAAAATCAAATCACTATAAGTACTACATCTTTTATGTTTAGGTGATGAATTGTATATTTTAAATTAAACTTTGTATCAATTATTGGTTTCCTGCCGACTTAATATTAACTGGCACACTTATTACAGCAAAGCATGTAGCAAATCTATGTGGATATAATGGGCAGGAGACGCAAGTCGTCATTTAATTATATTTCAGCAAATCTTAATAAAGTCTAATTCCAATAAAATTATAATTATATACAAGTAGGTTTAAGTACCTGCCTACGGCACTCTAAATCATGATCTGCGCACGCCCAACGACCACGCCGAGGCCATTTTCAGCAAAACAACCAAACCGTCGCAGCGACATCGGTGATTGTGGAGCAAATAATTCTTGGTGGCGGACAAACGTGACAGCGCGGGCGCACGCCGGCCGTAAACCGCTTAGCTGATTAATCGCCACCATTTTACAAATAACTTGTGTCGGCCACGGCCCGTTGCCACTTCTGCGGATCCGCGCTGTCATGGAGTGTTACGTATGTAGCCGAATTATATATTTGTCGTAAAGTCCGCTGCTCCGATGCTGTGACACAACGCCGTTCAGCCGTGCACGATTAATTCAACGTGAAATTATAAATTTGTATTATAAGAGAATCCTCCCTATCGTCGCAATAAAATTAAATAAAGTCCTAAAATAACCAATAAGTATTTTTTTAAACATTTACGTAGTTAACTAATATTTTTCTACACAATTATGAATGTAAGTGAGATAAGAGTACCTAAGAGCGGTTTGTCAGGATGTGATAAGATGCGATAGGGAATCCAAGGGCCTTAACGTACCTAAGTGACTTCATATTTATTAAGTTTAGAGGTATAACAACAATTGTATGAAGCGACTAGTTTATCAAAACGTCAAGACGCCGTGTCTCGTTTATTCGGCAGTTCCTTGCCGTTGCTGAAAAATTAAAATACGGGACAACCGTCTCCATCGCTATGAAAATAAAGCTCTACCTCTCCAATTAGTGTCTTCATGAACAACTTCGAGTGCATCACACCCTGAAGTTCCCGTCGGTTTGGTCCAACGAGCTGTGGCTGAGCGATGCAATGGTCTGCGTCGGCGCACGATCTGCGCGGGCGCAAGGCGCGCCTCGATGCGCACAACCGAGGTGCTAATTGCGCGGCCACTGCCCGCAACCTACCTGTGCCAATTGTTTTTATTTATGTTCAATTATCTGTGCATTGCCATCTCTCATTAGCGAGTGACGAGATGGTTAAGAGCCTGCGAGTTGAGGCGATGGTCTGCGGCGAAGCGGTGCATGCGCACACCGCGCCACGGTGGTGGTGGTGGCGCGCTTGAAATACTAATTGCGGTAAAAATTTTCTATATTAGTGCCCACGTCCACAGGCAGACGAGAGGGCACAGTGATAATGGTTTCAATTTTTGAATTGTCATAATTATTTTGCTTTGGCCAAGCATTTTAACTAAATCAATTGATTGGAAATAAAACTGTGTTATATTTGTTTTTTAGACAAAGCGACGTTTAGGACTCTTTACAGGTCTCATGGTTACAGCTCTGAGATCTTAAGTGAACAATAGTTTCAATTCCATGTGACAATCGCGCAAACATAAGAACTCGATAAATGAAATTGTTTAATATATATTATATAATAATTGCTTTTTATGCAGGAAAAGTTTTATAATCTATGCGGTTTCTGCCGGTAAAGTAACCTGCAATTGTTTGCCCCTTTCGCGTGACAGGGCGCGGCGGCGCCACAATTTTGTTATAAAACACGAAGTTTATTCGTAGCCTTACCATAAATATGCACAAACATGAAAATATCCCAACATGAAAGAAGTCTCGTATTCATGAATGAAGCAGGTTCTGCGTAGTAGCGCGGGCTCATGAAAGCGCTCTTCCGCGAAGGCACGGCCGGCTGCGCGCGCGCAGAATCCGCGCCGCCCGCCCTCGCACCCGCCCGCCCAGGGACAACATACTAGTAGAATACAAAGCTTTCTTCCGAGAACGATAGGTAGATTAAAAATAGCAATGCTGACATCACATAATCATACACTCTGATTATATTCAATCGACGACGATGCAATCGCAATTAGATCGGGAACGATCGCCAGCGCAACGAAGAAGTCATCTAAGGAATACAAATAGTCGTTACAAAAGTACACGAATATATTAAACGTGAATGTCAGCTGGTGATGTATTGGTGCCCATTGCAGGCGCGAGGGTACCCCCGCGCAGAGGCAGGGGTCTGTTTGAAGTGACGCCTCGTAAATCAGCCGCGCAGCGACGCGCGCGCACCGGCGCACCGCCGCCGCCGGAGCATCGGCCTATAGTTAGTGGACCTATTTCAAATAAAAATACTACAAGTGATGCGCTCGTTTATATTCATTTATTGTCACTCTTTTCTCACTACACTTTTGCATTATGTTGATAACTTGAAATAGCAAAGGCAATTAATAAGACAGCGAAAAAAGGTATAGGCAGTATGTTAACTGTGACTGACTCAGTCAACCGTGTCCATGGGACCTGTGAAGGGCCCGAAACGTTGGTTTGTTTGAAAAAACAAATATACGCGATTTAAATCCGGAAAAATAGTTTCATTTCCTATGTAAAGAATTCGATATGACTAAGCAATCTGGTTCCGACTGAACCGACGAAACCGACTTTGTATGCGATTGCTTACTTAATTGACATTATATTTCGTGAATTAATGAAAATCGGAAAAAGAAAACTCGCCCTGTAACGAAAATCGTTTTGAATAGTCAGTTTTCAGCAGTTTCTACCAAGTATGTGATTGAAATGCGATGAAGAATGTTGAACCTTGTTTTGATCATGACATTGATGATTAATCACACATTTCACCAGTGCCTAGTTGCACTGATGACAATAGGTATTACATTAACTGAAATAACATACATGCAACAAGCGTTAGATACGCGTGCGAAAGGCTGGCACCAGGGCAGCCGGCGGCGGCGGAGCGCAGCCGCTCGCGGCGGAGGGCAGCGGCGTGCGGTGACTTCTGCTTGAGAATTACTGGGTTTATATTTCTACTGCATTTACGTTTTTATGGTAATTCTTACGCGACAACATTACGTAGAAGTAAAAATTACTACTGCAATTATAACTCTTACGTTACTCCCACAAGTAGGTAGAGCACCTATGAATCACGTTACGTTTCTATTTACTAATGATTTTACATAATTTATATGTTTTGCAGGAGACTAAAGCAACCGGTTCTATAAAGAAGGCTCGCGACTGCGGCTACAAATTTATGTGCTAAACAGGCAGCTGCAGTGATGAGCTACACTGATGAGCACTTGAATGTCAACTATCAAACGTTTCCTTCCCATAAATAATTTTTTTGCAAGTCGTTCCCTCATCGCCGCCCAGTCATCGCTGTGCTATCAGAATGCATTTAATTAGGGTCAAAACTTCTTGACGTGAAAGATCATCGTTGTTATGTCACCGAATAGGTACTTACCTATTCATTACCACTCAAGGTTTTGGAACGTAACTTTCTTTGTGAAATTTCTCAAATTTTGAATAAACTCCCATCACGGGAGCGGCTGCGCAAAGGACGACGAAGTTAACAAAAAATAATTACAAAAAACTTTGTGTCAAACATTATCGCCGTGCCGATATTACTATCTCTGTTCAAGCTAGAGTTTATTGTTGCAGATGCGGTGCGACTATTTTTCAATAAATTTAAATTAGTTTGTTTAACTTGTTCAGCCATATATATTTATTTATTATACATATACTTAGACCGAGAAGTCTTTGATTTAATATACAATAGAGTACGTGCATTTATTCTAATTAAACCAGAAGAAAGAAAACAATAACATTATATCTTCTTAACGCTTATCTAAGGTATCATGGACGGTGTGCTCAGAATGTCACTGAAGTGTGCACGTAAAATTACAGGAGCATAATCGTAGTATACAGGGCGTACCACGGCTATCGGACACAGAGGGAAAGTACTTTAATTATTGTAGATTGGATATTTTGCTTCGTGGAGACATGACTTTATTTTTAAAAGAAAGTACCTACCTACTGCACTCAAATACTTTCAAAAGTAAAGCTTGCCTCGTCTTGGAGTCAAACCGATCACATGTGAGAAAATT